CTGGTATAGGAGGAGATTGTCCCTCCTCCAGCAGAGCATCTGGTGGATCCAAACCAGGCACATCTGGGCTTACACACATATCCCTTCTGGACTGCTTTTCTGAGACTGACATTTGACACTTCTTAGTCTCAACTGGGAACTTTCTTGGTGTGAAATTCAATTCTTTACTGAACTGAGCTACTTAATGCAAAGGCCAAGCCTCCTTAGTGGTTCAAATCCACCAGTTTCTCCATGGGACAAAGTGCGGCAGTCTTCTCTCATGAAAGCAGTGGAGGGTCAGCTCTGAGTAGGTTCCACTGCAACAGCAATGAGGTTTGTTTTGTTTTTAGTTTCTCTTACTTTTGAGTTTGAGTTTATTCCTCACCATTTGGCTATGCTCTGCCTCTTCCAGTCAGTTTTATTCAGGGATTATGAAATAATGTCTAATCTTTGTTCTTAATAACACAAAAGGTGACTTCATGATCAAATGATAATTCTTCAAAATGCTCAGCCCTTAGATAAAAAAGAAAGCTACATGGTAAAAAATTTTGAGGCCTTTCTACTGTCTCAGAGTGAAAAATTATCCATCTTGGTTCCAGGCAAAACTTTTTCTGAGTTTCATGCTGAATTTTGTGGGTTTTTTTTTCAATATTAGCAAAAGAATTCAAGGCCAATAGTTGTGGTACAATAAATTTAATTATGAAGGACATAATTGGGATGGACTTTATTGGAGATGGTCGAATAAGGCACTGTTAATAGGAGAGGATAGATATTTCTCTGGAGGTTCCTTATATTAAGGAACTTTTTTTGGTTTTCATTTGAGTTTATTTAAGCATTTGAGTGAAATTGAGGCTTTTTGGAGAATAAATGACCTAACAAGACTGTTGAAATAAAAGACAGGCAAAGTCTTCAGATCATCCACCACACAGGTGTATACCTGTTACCTTCTCTTATCCTGTACTTCCAAGCACCCAGTTTTTTTAACATAGCCTAAGAGCTAGAGGAGCAAGAGTATATTTGTGGTGGAATGTAACCACATGCTGTTATCTAGCTGAGGCAATTCCATTATCACCATTGTAACAGCTTAAGAGTGAGCCTTTCATATCCATAAATTGTTTAAATCTCTCCTTATTTTCTGCTGTATATAATAGATACGTCAAGGCAGAGAAATCCACATTTAGATAGATAAGCATTAAACATGTGCTGTTTTGAAGTATCTTTAGTTCTAATTCTAGCAATACAGAGTTACAGAGCCTAATTTTATTACCTAAGTCACGTTTAAGTATTGTATTTTTAGTGAACTTGAGATAAATGGTAGTTTGTGTTTTAATTTACTACTGACAACTTATCTGAACAGTTCTGGCTAAACATCCTTATGTTAAAAAGAAAAGTACAAATCAAAACTGTTTATTGTTACTTTTTTGCCATTTGGTAGCATTTTACACACAGGCTTTAATCTTCAGAATACCCTGGATTCAGTATAAAAACCTTTTAAATGAAGTTTGTACAATAGAAACTCCTTAGCAGTCAAAATTTAGACTGTAAAAAAAAACATGCAAAACATACTTTTCTGAAAACACTTAACTTTGAACAAAGTACAAAACTACACAAATGCAGAATGAAAACAGCATTTCTTCTTTTTCAGTATTTTTAATGTTATTAGTTTTAATGAACATTTACAAAGATTTTGGGTTTTCATTCATTCATTGTTGCACTGAAAACAGCATTTCAACTCCACCAAAAGTACTCATCATAAAAGGTGTAAAAGTCACCTAACTTCACTAGGCACTGTTCACATTTTAAACTGGAGAGAAGAAAAAAAATAGTGTCCACAATCAAAATCCCAAGTTCTAGGAAATGTCTCGGTCTTCAACTTCATGCTTTAATAGCGGCGTGGAGAGTATGATCGAGATCTGGAACGGGATCTGTATCCTCCACGACTGTAGCAGGGAGAAGGTGATCGTCTTCTGTAAATCTCATCCCTGTCTTGAGCCGCTCTCCCTCCTGGTCTTCTGTATGATCTGCTGTAGTAGTCCCGATCATCATAGCCCCTATCATATCCTCTGTCATAGTAATATCGGCGACGTGAGCTGCCATAAGTAGGTCTCCCCATATAAATTCCAGGTGTTGGGCTATGTGGTCGTTTTGTTATGGAGAAATCAACTCTAATCTTACGGCCATCAAGCTCCATTCCATTGGTACATTCTTTAGCTTTCTTGGCATCATCTACATTTTCAAAATATACGAAGGCAAATCCTCTTGAACGTCTAGACTGCTGGTCATATATGATAGACACATTGTCAATGGGCCCATATTTAGAGAATACTTCTCTTAGAACTCTCTCTGTGGTATATAAGCTCAACCCAAATACTCCAAGACAACAGTTGGGATCAGGAATTGCCCGATTTCCCATATGACGCGATTGACTGTGAGAAGTGCTTCCGGATCGCCTATGGGAGCTAGAGCGGGAATGGGACCTTGTGTAATGTCTTCGAGAACTTCTTCTGGATCTAGACCTAGATTCAGCTCTGGACCTGGACTTTGATCTGGAATACCTGGAATCTTCCTTGGCGGGAGACCTTGCAGGGAGATGGAGTTCAGATTTCCCAGATCCATGAGCACTTCCACTTCTGGAAGCCGAATGGGATTCCTGCTCGCTGTAGTTCTGCTCGCCGCTGTCGCTCATGACTCCTAGCTGCAGTTGCCGCTCGATGCTCTTCAAAGGAAGCTGTCAACCTCTCGGGCCTTAGCTCTCAAGGCTCCGTAGCAGCGTCCGTGAGCTTACTGCTACCAGAGCTGCTTGGAGACAAGCACGCCAGGCCGCCTCTGCACAGAATTTAATGCTGCTGGACGTGACGCCAGTGCTCTTTAAGCCCGCCCCGCCCCCTGGGCGAACGCGCAATTTCCTGGCCCCGCCCTCGGGCGTCACTCCTCCTCTCTGGTGCTGGTTGTGGGCTGAACCGGAATTGAGGCAGGGCTTGGAACTTTTTTTTTGTTAAATTTTTTAATTTAGTTTGTTTATTTTTCAATTCAATGAACATCTACAGAGATTTTGGGATTCCATTCATTCATTGTTGCACCCTTCTCCCCGCACAACCCCTC